TCCCGTGAATGAAATGCCCAATCTGTTCAAATACTTAAACCGTTTCCGACGAAAGGTGTGTGTACACATTGGTAATTGACATTGGTCCAAGCATTCGATGACCTAGTACGTAGCTTTCTACTTCGCTTGGTCGACTTCCTGAAGAAATAATTCCCCTTCAAACACTCAAGCAACTTAGCATACAACCGCCATCTGGTATGCCATCTAGTCCTTGGAGTTAAGGCCGACCTCACGCCCTTTTCTGTTCTAGACTACAAGATGTACCAGAAGATTCTTGCTGATACCTCTGGCATACCACACAATAATATTGAGGAACGTGAAGCATACGTGGCGGAGAAATGGAAGGAATCCGGGAGCAAGTTTTTTGCGCTTTGCACGCAATTTCAGAGGAAACAAGAAGATTAAATATAATTGTAGAGCACGTTGATTTCTGGTACAGCTGTAACTCTGAAAGACATTTGCAACAACCCGACCCACGCGATTGACATACTTCAGAGCTCTTCAGACAAGTTTATTCATCGTTTCAAGCAAAATATCGATTTCGATGGTACCATCTGCTATTATACGCGTTTTTATTATGGATTATGTATACCATGTAAAGGAATATTACTATAACTGAGGCTAGCGAGTCCAGCTCGCTATTTGTTGGCAATGGCATGATTTCTAGCAAACTGCAGATCTTCGAATACGACGTTGATATTGACACTAATGTCCACTAATTTGTCACCAGAGTTGTTGGTCTTTACACCCCGGTTAAGCCAAATCCATTTGTAGCCATGATGATAGGATAAGGCAGGTCCCCAACGCCGCGTCACCGACTCGGTGGAGTTTGACCATCCCTCCCAATTCATATATACATCGGTTCCATGAAGGCAGTTGCTAATTTCCTCCGTCAGCGAGGGAAACAATGGCCGTCATGGATTGGTTGAACTTACAAATGAAGGACTTTCGGGCGGATCAGAGCACCCTGTGCGTCCTTTGTCAGTTCATGACAGAATCCTTTAGATGGATAAAGTCTTACCTCCTGAGGAGTTCCCTTGACATGACTTTGCCTGGGTAATTCATGGACTTCAGATATACCATCTTCACCTAATGTGATACTATATGTGTCCATTAAACAGCTGGTAACTTCGAAGTCAAAGCTCAATGGTTCGAAAATATCCTTCCTGCTATCAACAATGGCCCACCAATAACCTTGATCACCCAGCTTGACGTTCTTGTACCCATCCGGCCCTGGTTCGCCATACATGGCGCGAAATGTAGGAGGGGACAACGCTGGGGGATAGGAATCATCCGTCACCTCCCTGTACACACTCGAGTCCATCAAGCGCAATTTGCGCAACTTTTCCAGATCTAACAACATGACACAGCTGCATATTCGCGAAGCTTGGTGCCATACAGGTGAATCCTGATCGGGGTGGTACGACATGACGAAGGCGGTGGTGGGTTTGAGTTGGGAAAATACGTTCCACAATAAGGTTGGGTCGGAAATGAAGATAGCGTCGGTGTCTATGTAAACGGATTTCTTGACGCTTGCAGGAAGAATCTCATGGATGAAGAGCTTCATTAGACCAGCTTGATCATTGAAACTTATTCAATTGGGAGCGTAACGGAGGAGATTGTTACTTACGAAGACCTGCTGCATGATCACTCCGTATTGAACCTTCTCGAGCTATCCTATCCTTCATACTCTGTAGTGAAGGTTGATAGAAGCGGACTTTGAGAGGGTAAGATGGACCAGTCAACAACGAGAATCTTGTTTCCAGAAAGTCTCGGGCTGATTGGTCGCAAATAATATGGAGTTCTATTGGGCTCGTGGTATACATTAAGATGGTCTGCCATGATCTTTTAGCGATAATGAAGATATTAGAAACTAAAGACACACACGCCTTGATTAAAAGGGCTCCTTCCATAGAAGAGTCTCGAGACCACATAATGAGTGAGAATATCACTGGCTCAGGCTGTGATACGACTGCTTCGTTGGCAGTGGCTGTTTCAACGTAAGGAAGGGAAGTGTATGTCGAAGTAACCGTGACCGTAGCAGTGACTGTTGAGATTACCTCTACTGCCATCTCTGCTCCAACGGGACCAGACTGCCATTCCGCGAATAGAGATGCAGAGACGGCATAATCTCGTCCAAAAAGGTATGTTGTTAGAAAGAGGACGATGACAGCTATAACAAGTAGTCTTGTACGTCTTCTGTTTGACCGCCAGCATCTTGCAAGTAGTGTGTCATCATGTTGGGTACTGGCCATGAAGGACCAAGGTAAAGACCGGAACGAATAAAGCGAGTGGAGATCAAGTGAAATGTATCCAGGCCATATAATAAAGGTATTCTTGCTGGCAATGTGACATTGAATGGGTGGTCAAATGAACTCAGCGCTCCGGCGCCAAATTAACCACTCCAGAAGCTGCAGTCAATTTACCTAACAGAAATACATACTGACGACTGTTTCTCAAGGACGTAAGGAGATGCACCAACACCGAAAAAGACCGTAAAGCGAACATGTACATACATTCCGTACGGCTCCCGAACGTCGGACAAAGGTCTGCTACATAACCTCCGGGAAAGAAATTTAATGTTAATGATGTCGCGGTACATTTAGAGGAGATCCTTTCCGGTCTAGTCCATTGACACTGCAGCCAAACACTGGCCAAACTACACATAGTAGTACAGACATGGGATGTGTAAGCATTAAATTAGTATGCGTAAACATTGAAGGTGTGTATGTAATTAGTTTTTCAGCAAGTAACACAACGCCGTTGAAAGCAGATTAGAAATACACGTCGGTCCTCTTGGTTGGAAAAGAGGGTGGGTTCTCTGCGTTGAATACAGAGTGATCCGCACTCAAAATAGTGGGTGCGTCGACAGTTGATGTTGATGGTACACATGCGAGGAACAACCAAAAACTGGAAAAAAGCAAGGAACTCAATCGAGAAAGATCTAGCCTCTACGCTACATCCCATAGCTCCTCTAAAGCGCAACAAAACTTTGTACCAGAGGGTAAGTATTGGAGCACACAAAAATAGATAGTACATACCTTCCCGCACGCTACGCTAGCACTTAATGCGTATTGACTGACACCAATTTTCTCGTCAACATAGGCGTCGGCGAAATCGTCCTTACCGCGAGCCATAGCGCCTACGAATACAGCCAAGTTCTTGGCTGGCTTACGATCAGAACCTAGAAGGAGCTGTCAATGGATGCAAATCTTGCGTGTATTCGAAACAAACCTGCGGGGGGATCAAACAGGGTGGGAAGGTATGTTGAAAGTTTTTGAAGGGGGGCATCTCCAGAAAGTGCTATGTATTCAATTAAGCGGATAGCGCAAGTTAAATTGACAAGGACGAACTGATTTTGTAAGTGTCAGGGGGGAAATGGTCTACAACAGGATTCTGTCGATTTCGGTGACACATGAGAAAATCAGGAATCAGCCTCCATGAACAACGCAGGAATTATGACTCACTTTGACAACTTTTAGTAGCTTTTCAGAACCTTGAACACCCCTGATGGATAATTTATGCAGAAGTTGAACTATTTCTGATTAGTATGGTATCTGTGAGAATCAGATCGATCAACTTACCCATCAAGCCGCTGAACCGCTTGAATGTTCTCGGAATCCTCACATGAGGATTGACCTCGATGAGAACACCCTTAGCTGTGTGGATGTAGACTTGAAGTAGGCCAGCCTTGTTGAGGGGTGAATCAAGAAGGGTTAGGAGACACTGTAGAATAATGAATAAGTGAGATAGAATGCTGGGAATGGTTGAAAAACAGACTTGATGAGTGATATCGGGCCTAGCATCAGCGATGTCCCGACCGGTCTTGGCCAAAATGCCTTGATGGTCATCGCAGTTCAAGAGGGTGTACTTGACTTCACCTTCCTTGCCTTTTTTGCCGTTGGATTTCGAGCTTGATGAGATACGATACGCTTCGAGGCAAGCTTGTTCAAGAACGACGAAAAGCCGCCTGGGTACCGATGAAGAGGTGATACCTGCACCATTGGCAGCGGGGCCTCGAGGAACATGAGCCGTGGCAGGAAGGAGATGAGGGTTGGAGAGATTGGGAAGATTAGGATTGACTGTGATACTGAATGCCTGAGCTCGAGGGTTGAGTGACTTGGTGGGAAGCGGTTTGGTGGGCCGGTCCATCGTGGTCGTTGTTAAAAGAGTGTTTTGGTCGGCGTTTATAGCTTCTTCTTCTTGAACCGTCATCTCTATGTCCTCGTATTCACTTCCACTGCCACTCGGACTTCTCTGTCTCCTTCTTAGTGCTGGCCTCTCTCCAGGCGTAGATTTTGGCCTTGGAGGCGGGTCGACCCTGCCGCTACTGTTTGCCTTACGAGCAGATTGTAATGCAGAACGCAAGTCATCTGAATCACTCGTGGTACCAGAGTGTCGTCGTCGACGAGGAACAGTAGGAGTAGGGGATGATAGCTGGGCCATTTTGGTAGGGAAGAAAGTAAATGGACGTGGTAAGAACTTAAAAATGAATGTACGCCTTTTTACACAAAACTCCATGTAGAAATTCTTACCAAAACTTTGTTTCTTACTGCTTTCCTGATTTCCGTTCACAAGCTATTTTTCAATTCATTGTCTACGTTTTGCTTGATTAGAATCGTCGGAAGTACGCATTTCCATCTCTTAGATAAGATATGCGGGAAAAGACATCCTTCAACGCCACTACAACTCATACAACTGGGCCGGTCATCGCTCTGACTTGGTTAGCGCTACTCTTTTAGTTTCCATTCCACCTATCCTGGTCCATATGCATCTCACGAATATTGTTATCGGTGAAATTTTGCCCCGTGCTATCTCCAAAGAAGTTCTTCTCCTAGCAATCCTCTGAGAACATTCCTGCAGTATCACGATGTTAGTCCAACCACAACCAGAGCTTTTCATTGGCAGTTTGCTAAGCTGATTTCGGGGGCCAGAGATGAGTGAACGGTCCTGGAACAGTCAATTTCATTTTTAAATGCACAAATAACACGCTTCTATCCGCCTGCCTAGCTCAATCGGATAGAGCGTCAGACTTTTACAAGCGGGTTGATCTGAAGGCTGCGAGTTCGACCCTCGCGGTGGGCTAACAAGATTTTTGACGCCGCTGGGGACTCGGAGCTGCTTGTAAGTAACTAGACTTCACTGTCTCATCCGGCCATTTTTTGTGTGGATTTCGGACGGATTGAAAAGGACAGTGGTTCTGTAAAGTAAGAGGATTCAAGGCACTGGCACGGTTCCCACTCAAGTAGTAGGACTAAATCACAGCTCAGATCAACCCGCCCTTTATCTTTTCTTCCTCTCCCGACTTGCACGCTCCACGGAGCAATCTTCTTCCTGACGCTGCTGCCGCATACATAGGCACTCCCTTGCAAGAATGAATTCAACATGACAACGGCGTAGTTATTGTACGAACACAATAATTCTCCACGCAATGGAAATGCATGCCCAATCAGGTCATTTTGGAAAATCCGTTCTCAAAAGTCTTCCCGGTCCGAAGTTTCGACCCTGTTGTCGACAGTTGTCGACCCGGTCCAACATTTGAATGAAGACTCACGCAAGCCCGAGAAAAACATGAAAATAGTTTCGGCTTTCATGTTACATATACTAATATGTCACTATATTGGACCTCTCCGTGCCCTTGTCTTCCACTAGTGAGTAATAACTCCTTTGAGTTTGTATACAATAATTGACACCTTTTTAACCACAAACATCTCGACGCGTCGCTCTTTTCTTAGGTTTGTCAACATCTTGCACTTGTGCGCTATTCTCTCTCTCTCTCTTTCAAGCTACAATGAGCGACCTCAAGCTCTCGGTTGGCGCTTTAGTGAGCATGATAATTATGTAGTGCTAGGAATAAATATACTCAACAATTTCACGCAGCTTGTAAGCGGATGGATGTCATTCATGAGCTTTGGTTTGGTTCTTGCTTTTGGTGAGTGTCCGCTTGGACGATTACTGGCGATGTCTAACATTGGTTTCAGGATGGCAATACTTCTTGCAATTCTACAATGACCGGGTGCTCTATAAAACAATTGTAACGACCTGTCTACTCTTATGTCTCGGAGACACAATTGTTTCCGGTATGTGCATGCAGATCCTGACCGTTGACTGTTCGAGCCCCAATTTCATCCCCGATATCCAGGACTATGGTGTTATCGGTGGTCGTCGACATATTTTGGTGGTATGGCACTGTTATTCCACAACTCCTTCCGTTGTCTGATGCTCTTATTTTTTTGGAGACGACTCGGCTTTGCTCGCGACTCCGCAGTGAGCATTTTCCTTGTTCAAGAATATTAACACACACTCACCCCGATCTTGCAGAGAGGCCATAGCTACATTGTGGTTTTTGTGAGCTTGAGGTCTGGGCTACGGTTCTGTCCTGATTCTTATCTTCTATAGCCCTACGGCGACGTTCCTTGTACAAATCTGGTTCGCGAGCCGGATATGGATGATTTCGATGAGGAAAAACGTGTTGCTTCCAGCGCTGATAGCACTACTAGCTTCCGCATCCTGGGGTAAAATTCGTAATATCATTTATGTGAGAGTTTGTTTACCAGCTCACATCTAGCGATCGCCTTATGGATGTTTTCCAAACTCATCAAACATCATTCGACGTTAGTCGATGACTCGAAACTCGTATTGTACGTACCTTCCGTAATTAAGTTCGAATCCTCGAGGACTTATTGATTCTTGTCAGCCCTGTTGGCTATGCATGGCTTGGAGGTGACATGTAAGATCTTATTCGCTCATTGTAAAACACCGAAGTTGCATTCATGCATATACCAGCGTTGCGGATATGTGCATTTTTGGTGGTCTCGCTTACTATACCGAAATTCGTTCCCGGAAGCAACGAAAGCATCATATCCTCTCACCAAAGTAAAAAAAAAATATGATCTTGCCCTATATGGTTACTCAACTGCCTGTGTTTTACAGGAGCCTATGGGCTGTTACCTGCCGGATGATTGAATGCAATGTTCTACCACTCCTTTGTCAAATTGTTCTTGTCGTCCTCTTCAAAACGAATGTCGGATCCTACTATAGCACGTAAACATCCTTCATTTTAGATTGAGAAACTAATTCTTGCTACGTTGCCACAGTACTTTCTGATATGACTATTGCCAAAGTATGTGTATTCGTGCCATTTATACACGATCCAACCCTAAATTATACATTACGTGCAGGTCTATACTTTTTCATTGCTTGTATCTCGTGCGTGGAAAAACAATCGCCCTCTCTTTCCGCTCGACTCTAAAAACGGTTCGCAGTGAACGCGCGGACGCCTATTGTAGAAGCTATATCCCATGCTGCTGTCACAGGCCAACAAAGGTCGGATCCTATCACATTCACTCGATCGACCATCAATGCTACGGCAGTGCAAGTACGGTGGGTTCTCGATATTCTATATATGATCGACTGAGATTACTGACGATGATGTCTGCAGACAAGACGTACATGTTGTACATGATGATAGTGACGCTAGCCCGATCTCGCCGTACGATAAGATAGAGATGGAGAACGAGTCGGAGTATGAGGTTGGAAAAGGTACTCTTGTGGATGAATATCACGATGGTATTCATCGTCATGTCGGTTCAGTGTAAATATTTTTGCCTCCACAGATGTCAGCGGATGTTGTAGCACAAATAGATACCCGGGACGAGATATTTGATGTTGTTGGAAATGGATCGAGCCGTCATTGAGTGTTCTGTCGAAGTGGATAAGTTCCTGCTACACCTTCAAGAAAAACAAGTAGACGAAGGCAAAAATTAAAAACAATTCCTTCTAGCCGACTTGAACGACTGACCTCGTCATGAACAACATTACTAGTGACGCGCTCTACCAACTGAGCTAAGAAGGAATGAAAGTCTGCAATAATCAGCATTATAAGATCTGATGTGGAATCGGTGACAAAGAATTTGGGCGGCGAGCGCCCATCTATCACATTTACTGGTACTATCCTCTTCTGCAACTCTTCTGTGTGTTAAATGGGCGGCCGTTCTGTCCTTCTCACTTCGAACCTACCCCAACTACAAAATCTGATCAAAAGGGATCCTACCTCCTATAAGGATGAATTTCTTCAGCAATGGAACCATTACAACAGCATACGGCTGATTTTCCATTTGAATCCGGACGAACATGCTCAACACTTCAGAGAACTGGTTGCGTTCATCGCCCAGGTCGCCACTTGTTACCCAAAAGAAACCGCAGAGCTTCCTTCGCAAATCTCTACCATCCTGCTGGAAAGCTATGGCATGCTTTCGCCTGATACACGGAAAGCATTGATTTCCACCATGGTACTGTTGAGGAACAAAAATGTCATAACGCCCATCGAGTAAGCCCAGACTTGGTATTCTTTACTGAATCTAATCTAATCTGTAATTCAAGACTCCTTCGAACGCTTTTTCCTCTCCTTCCTCGTACCACCTCATCTTCTCTACGGTCTAACATCCGCAAAACTATACTTTCCGATATTCGCACAGCCAACATCCGAGCAAAGAACCATAAACTGAATCGTGCAATTCAGGCTATGCTCTTCGGTATGGTCGAAAACGGTTTGGACGACGTTGCGAATTTCGGCAACAAAGGGAAGCAGAAGGAAGTCAATAATGGAATACACTTCGGTACATCAGATAAAACGGCAGGAAGGGGAGAGGATGCAATGTGGGCTGTGATCTTGACCAAAGAACTCTGGCGGAAGGGCATCTGGTGAGTGTCTTATCAAGTGCGTTCGACGGGAACATGACTTTAGCTCATCTGTGTTGGTGTAGGAATGATGTAAAGCCAGTCTCCATCGTTGCTATCGGGTGCTTGCATCCAGTCCTCAAAGTTCAGAGTGCATCAATCCACTTCTTTCTTGGAGATGATGACGAAAAGGAAGATAGCGACGATGAGGAGGAAGAGGTTCGTCGAAATTCTATTTGTTTGATTTAATCTGTATCCATATGCATTTGATTAGGAGGTCGATGTACGTGCGCTCCACCATCGTCGTGAAATCAACAAAAAGTCTCGTAGTGGCGACAAAAAACTACAGAAGAAGCTCAATGTCGCCAAAAAGAAAAAACATGGAAAAATCGACACCTCTCGGTCTCGGGCAAATTTTCCAGCTCTGCAATTGTTGAATGATCCTCAGACGTTTGCCGAAAAATTGTTCACTATTCTGGATCGTTACGACAAACGATTTACTCTCGACCACAAAATTTTAATCATGCAGATCCTTGCCCGTGTCATATCTGCGCATACGCTCTTCGTCATGCCTTTTTACTCGTACATTCAAAAATGGCTCGCGCCGAAACAACTGAGGGTGCCGTCGATACTAGTCGCACTAGCCCAATCTGTACATGCGCTTATACCACCGCAGACGTTGAAACCAGTTGTCCTCAAGCTTGCGAATGAATTCGTGCATCCAGGAGTTGGAAGTGAAGTCATAGCAGCTGGAATTAATGCGATTACGGAGATCTGTAGGCGGCAACCGTTGGTTATGGGACCTAGAGATGAAGACGAGGACGACGTGATGAGAAAGCAGAAGGAACATAGGCAGAAAAATATTGATACAAAGGACGGTGCTGAAAACCAGCTCGAACATTTAGAGAAAGAAAAGGCGGAAATCCGTAAGCTGGGGATAGACGATGCTGATGGAAAGAGACCCAGTGACAAGGATGTCGATCTACGGCCTCTGTTGAATGATCTAATCGAGTATAGGAAGAGCAAAGACAAAACAGTCATCGCAGCCTCTCGAGGGTTGTTGCATCTTTATCGAGAGACTCACCCGGAGTTCTTGAAGAAACGAGAACGAGTTCGTATCACTTACTCTATGTGCGATAGATTTTCTGATCCCTCTGTTCACACAGGGCAAAGAAGCCAGTATCAATATGAAGACTGCTGTTGCTCGCAATCTCCCCTACGGCCATTCAGCTAATGCTGCGGTTGACATTGAGGGCCTTTCTGTACGTCCATGTTTAGTGATAGCTTCTTCTACATACTCACCGTCTTGACTTTGATGTAGCTTCTGGAGAGTCACTTCCAACAACTCCGTGAAGAAGAAAATGGACACGACGATGCAGATTCGGGAGAGGATAATAACGAAGCTGGTTGGGACGGTTGGGATATCGAGTCAGATTCTGACTCGGAATCCGATTCGGAGGATGGATGGCAAGATGTGTCCAGTGACAGTGATGGCGATATCGAACTCAGCGATAGCGAAAATGAGAACGGAGAACAAAAGGAGCAGAATAAAAACAAAGGAAAGGAGACAGAGCGGCAGGAGAGGCGTCGGGAGAAGAAGGAAAAGCGGGAGAAACAGAGAGTCAAGGAGGAAGCAGTCAAGAACGGGCGAGGAATCAACGAAAAGATAGACAATGACGAAGTGGATGAAAATGAGTATGGATTCAGCGGTGATGACGAGGACAGAATGGACATTGATACAGAGGAGAAGACGGAAACGAGAAAGTTTGAGCAAGATGCATCAACTCTCGCCACAACCAAGGTTTGTCTGCAATTGGTGACACCCGATTATGAAATTGAAATCATTTTCTCCTTCCTAGATTCTCACACCAGCCGACTTCAAATTGCTCTCTGACCTTCAGATTCAAGCAGCTCAAAAATCTGTTGATATAGGCGGTGGAAATCGCGCGAAACGAAAGCTCGCGGCGCTTGAAGCTGGACGCAAATCTCAAAACATTTCCGACGATCCATCAGCTTCCTTTATTTCCGAGAACGATATCCTTGGGCCGCGTAAAAAATCCAAGGCTGATTATGCTGAACGGATGGCTTCAATACAAAAAGGAAGGGAGGGTCGCGAGAAGTTTGGCTCCCGCAAAGGCAAAAAGACAAAGGATGCTCCCAGTAGCTCTACAAACAGGGAGAAAGCGAGAAATAAGCCGATCATGATGATCCTGAGCAGTGGCTCTGTTCGGGGGAAGAAGAAGGCAAGTTTGAGAGAAAAGCAACAAAAACTGCGGGCACACATTGAGAAGGGGAAAAGAGCGAAAAAGTAGATAGAACAAACTCACGTACGCCCAGTTCAGGCTATCTTGCTCGTCCGTCAATGACATGCCTCATAATGTAGCTTAAATTATTACAAGGGATACCCGCCTAGCTCAATCGGATAGAGCGTCAGACTTTTACGGCGGGGAATCTGAAGGCTGCGAGTTCGACCCTCGCGGTGGGCTATTAGATATTTTTAGCATCTTTCCGATGTCAATCGTTGAATTGATCCTCGTTTGTTGAATGTTGGTAATCGCGCCACAAACGTGAAAACTACATATTGGCATTAATATTTCTACAGTATACGCAACTAAAACCATTTGGCAGGTTGCAATCCAATCTTTTTCAGTATATCCTTCATGTTGGTAGTGACAAATGCACCCAAGGCAGTCGATCCTTGCAACCTGACTGGGACGCCGACCACTTCGTACCTAGAGGAGTGGGATGAATGAAAACCTCTTTCTTGAGGAAGAATTCTCACTGATAGCTAGGCTTTCCATCGATCACGACCTCCAAATTCAGTGTTGGTCGTTCAGGGTTTCTGGTATCAACCTCTATTGATGCCCACTTGTAATTTCCTTCAGGAATGTACTTGATCACTCGCTCTTTGGGGACCTCTTCAATAACAAATTCTATTTCTGGTTTTTCGGCGTTGTGCTCATTGGCCGATTCGGAGGAGGTAGGAGGAGGAACTTGCACCGAAGGTTTTGTAGATACTGGTGTTCCGTCTGATTGGACTACAGTTGCTTCATCAGAAGGGATAGGCAGACTCTCGGGAGCGGGAATAGGTGCATCCACGGAAGGCGCTTCTTTCACTACCTTTCTGGTGAAGGTCTCGGCGCTTTGCATGTTGAGTGTATGATAGATCGGAATGTAGAACATGCTCAACGGGCTGAAATTTTACACCAGTGTAAATATATATGACCAGGGAGGGTATCGACAATGAGACAGACCTTGTGGAAAATTCAGTGACCGCAAAACTTGATTGAGTTGGGGCAGCAAATTCGATAGCAGCAAACTCATGTCGGTCGCCAGTAATCACAAACACATTCGGGACACTGTACATAGCGTTCAAGATAGTCTGCTTTTCGTTCACGAACCCGGCCCATGAATCGTATTGCGCGTCATGACCCCAAAGTGAGGTGAACGGGACAGAAGACACAATGAATTTGAATGTGGCGGTACTGTTCGTCTATGATAGAATGTGTCTCAGTACGGGTTGGAGCATCTTACAAAGCACACACTTTTCCCAGCCAATCAAGCAATCTGGTCAGTTGTTCTTCACCTAGCATTGTCTTCTCCTCTGAAGGGTCGTTTGGGAATGAGCGATATCTTCGAGTGTCCATCACAAAAAATGCCACATCGCCGTAGTGGAAGTCATAGTAGTATGGGGTATGATCGAGCGACTTGGTTGAGAGAGGGGGTGAGGGATTTCCGTTGGCGTTATAGATCTGGAAAGCATCTGAGGCGCTGGGATACGGCAGTGTCGAATCATTACCGGCGCCTGAGAAGTTGTTGATGATTTCATGATCGTCATAGGTATGGAACATCGCTAGGACAATACTTTTAGAATGCCTATCTATTCTAAACGATTGGGAACGTACGAAGTCTTTCGTAAATTTTTCTGAAGCTTGAGCTCTGGTAGTTTCTTCGGTAAAGGCGCCGGTAGCTCTCTTTGTAGTTTCCGAAGTAGATAGGGACATCGGCGTAAATGAAATCGCCCAGGAAAAGTAAGAAAGATGGCGAAAGCGTCGTAGGTACATCCAGAGTCTCCTCCGAGTTGGGAGTGCCAGCATCGTTACGGTCGGTAGTCGAATTCACGGCCCTAATAGCTGGTAATGAGGGGAACAGGTACTCCGCAAGAAGGTCAAAACCTTTAATTCTACGGCGTTGCAGGGGAATGTAAGGGAAATTTGGGAGTATGCAAGAAGATGCCACAAAGCGAAAATGTGTTCCACCAGGGAGATGAGGATCAGGGAAGGTACGGAATGCCAAAGGGGAACCCGGGTAAGCAAGGAAGGACGCGTTGGCACCGACGAGTGCATCTGGTTACATGGATTAATATTAAAAAAGTGGGATCGATAAAGCGACTCACATTCGTACTTGGTGCTGGGCCAGAGACCCGATAGCGTCACGGTATCAGCCCAGTCATTTTCCTGTGACAAATTCAGAATTTCCCCCTTATTCCATGCTGCATTCGGTCTTGATTCTCTCCAAATAAGTTGAATCGTTTCATTGAGGTTGGGGTATCTGACGAGTATCTTTGCGCTCTTATCTGATACTGCACCTATTCTAGAGAACACAACGTCGCTTGCATGATCGAAATAGGGAGAAACGCAGAAATCAAGGAATGCAAGCATTATCAAGGAATTTATGACAATATTGGTCCATCGAATGATTCGTGAAGGGGTCCTGAGGGAGAAAAGAACTGCTGCTGCAGGATTGACATTGCCCCGAGCTGGTTTAGATGAGAGATTGGCAGATAGCAGATATAAGGAGAGCAACGCTGGAATAGCAGATTGTAGTAGAGGAGAGGGTATCTTTATGATGATTGGAAAGGTGTTCAAATGCTTGAGTTGAATTAGACCTACCACTCTAAGAAAGAGAAATGAAGCAACTCTAAATGCTGTAGCAAGTATAGATGAGATGGACGTCATTCGGAGAGGGGTGTAACGCTGTATAACGCGAGGTAACGCGCGACGCGTACCGTAACGAGCGTTACAAGTGCTTGATTCGGACCTTTTCGGCCGGGGTGGGTCTTCAAAGCTTCAACGTTGAACATCGAACCTTTGAAAAATTATGGCAATTATTCACACATGTTACCAAAAAGAGAACCAACTGCAACACATAGACATACAGTAGATATAAATCATATCATAAATACAGCATAGATTTAATGGTATCAATATCATAGATAGAAAGGTATTCCGTAGACAACAGGTGCTGCTCCGGTAAGGTACTTGAGCTTGCAGGAATTTCTGGATTCCGCGACGGCCTGTACCACCGACATGGGGGTTGGGCGCTCGGGTGAAGATTGATTCTTGATTGCCTCCAAGGACAGGTTCAACTTTTCGAACACTGACTGGGAGAAAGTATCGATGTCTTTGTCTGTGACATCCCACAAATTCGCAACCAGCGTGGGGCTGACCAAAGAAAGTTAGTTGATGGAAAGGATTTCAACAGCAGCGACCGAGACTAACCATCCAGCTAACATATAGTTCAACGGCGTGCCCACTCGATCAAAGTCGCCCATATCCCGGAGTGCACCGGAAGAACAACCCCAAAGCATTACAGCCGCACATCTGGGTAAACTTCTCAATCTATGCGAGCGCACGTACTGTTCAGCTCCTCCATGTCCGAAGTACCTTGGGATATAAATCAGCTCCAAGTGTCATGTATTGAGCTGGGAAGAATCCTTACACTACGAGATCTTTTGTTCGAAGCGCATTAAGAACTTGGAGTTCACTTGGGGCACGCCCCGAGATGCCCTGCCATCCAGCCTTCTCCATCTTTTTCAGCCAGGGCTTAAATCGCTCCTCTGTTCGTTCCAAATCACCGCTGGGATTTATGATATAGTAAGCATTTGTGGGATCGCAGACCGCGCGATCGACCGTGTTCGATGAGCTACCCAATTCCGATTGTCGAAGGCGTGCAAACTGAACGCGATCAAGGAGGAATGAAATACTGGGAATGCGGCTGACACTTCTTCCTCGTAGGATCGGGATGTTTTCCCAAGGTAAACCTTGAACATTCTTGTCCAGAACCAAGAATAAATGCTCATTATGATGAACACGTTCGTTGTACCCAAACGCTCCTGTACGGCCATGTCCAACGCTTTTCAACTTTTCGGCATGTTCCTGCATAACGGATCGTAAATCGACAACCACTTGGTCAATGTCAAGTTCTGCGATAGCAACAGGAACGCCATGGAACTGATACAGGTCGAGAATAAAATATACCAAATCTTCCAGTTCCTCATCTCGACAATCTGGGGATAAAGTTGAGAAACATTCAATCAAGCTGTCGTCCAAGGTGACTCGATTGGGTGTCCAGCTTTCGGAAGGCATCTTCTTGTGACCTATAGCTCGTTCTTTCGTCTTCCTATCTTGCAACCTAAGACCGCGCTGAAAGACTCTATCAAACTGGATACGCAGATTGCTGATTGCATGGGGGGATAAATGGGGATTTGCTGACAGAATTGTCTGTAGAGGGGAATCGTCATCGACCCGAGGCGAGAAGTCAATGTATACATACCTTGAAAGCCCCAAGCCAGCAAAACTCAATATTCTCCAGTAGCTCGCGGAGACGAGTGTCCAATGCTCCTCGCTCCTTCCACCATTTGGATCTAGCAGCCGGATCATGTCGAATAGATGCAGCAATCTTAGTCGTTTCATTGCTCGAGGCTACTATCTCATTCATCTCTTTAAGCGCATCCTCAAAGGTGAGGTGTTCGTCAGCTGCATCTTCTCTTCTACCTTTCAATGGAATACAAAAAACAAGAGGTTCAGCCTGGCATCCGCCACGTTGACGAGATATAAACATCGTGTTTTTGTCCTCGGTCACGGAGATATGAACAACTGTCCAATGTCGGGGAAGCTCTGAAACCATAGAGGAAGCGAAGGTCTCTTCGTTTATGGAATACGATTGATGCCTCTTTCTAACGCTCTCCCAATAGTCCCTGAGCGAAATTTCGTCAAGTTCATCAGAGTCGTTCAAAGCAGTCTTTGGTTCATTGAGCAGTGGGACTCCGGAATCAGAGAGCTTGGGCCATGCTAACTCTTCGTAACGAGGGATTAAAGGGAATTTGTTAACGATAGCTTCCAGCATTTCACTGCGTAAAGTCAGTGACGATGAAGCGTCTGAAGGTGTGTTAGTACTTGATCAGCTAGCAACTCCACAGAGCTTACCTAGAAGACCAGCAGCAAGTAGCGGCGTTTTTGCATCAAATTTCCCCAATGAGGCCTGGAAGGTTTTGATTATCGCAATGGACATGGCAGACTCTCGGATGTCTGGCGCATAACCCTTCTGACCTAAGGCACCCAGGTAAGACCAGAACAATTTCTCCGCATGCTCCAGATTCTTGGCAATATCCACTGAAGTGGGAGATACGGAGACACTAAGATTGTTCGAGCCTGCTGAAAGGGCGATTGCTGAAATAGGCGTAAGCTTTCCCGCGATAGCATGA